GATCAGACATTCAAGGCCAAGCTGTGCAAGTTAGCAGACCTTATCTCAAGATAGTAAAAAGGGCCAAAGATGTAGCTCAGTGGTACAGTGCCCCGGGTAGGAACCTCCTGCACTGTAAGTAAATAAATAAATAAATACCAGAGAGAAGAACTTTGTCATTCCTTTGCTTTACCACTTCATTCAACTCTCCATGGATTGATTAGCTGATATCCACCCACCCTGCTGAGGGAAGATCTTCTTTTCTCAGACTGCTGAGTGATGTACCAATTGCTTCCAGAAACACTCTCATAGACATATCAGGAAGTGTTTACCTGGGCATCCCTCAGCCTAGTCACTTTGATGCATACAACTAACCATCACCAGTGCTTTCTGATGGCAGTGGGGTGGCATCTGGCCAGTGGGAGAGCTGTGCAGTGATATCTGAGTCTCTCCTGGGAGTCCTGCCTAGACCCAGCATCTCCAGGCTGTATGACCGTGTGAGTACCCAATTCCCTGTAGTAATTCACGTTCTACTTCAGTGAGCAGGAGTGGGTTGCTTCCTACGGCTGGACCCTGGATGGTTCCACCATCACGCAGGGAAGGCTACATTAGCTTTTCAGTTGTACACTCCACTAGCTCTCACACAAAGTAAGCTATCAAGGACTCATGTGCCCTTTTAAAGGTGATATTGATATTTTTCCCAATAGTAAAAAAAAAAAATTACTAATAGAAAATGGGGGAACATCAAATACAGAAAACTATAATGAAGCGTCTTCGTCACTTTCCTCATTGCTCAGACACAATACCCAACTGTGACAAATGAAAGGAGGAAAGGTTTATTTTGATTCGTAGAGGTTTTCAGGGCACAGTCTGTGGCTCCAAGGCAGGGTGTTGTGGCCAAGGAGACTGACGGAGGAGGCCGCTCATGGCACAGAACACAGGGAGCAGCGAGAGCTCAAAAGGAGCTGGGAAGGGAGCTAGATCCTTCCAGGCCAGGCCAGCAGTGACTGCCTCCTTAGCCAGACCCCACCTCCCAACAGTAAGTCAGCTGCAAGCCCTCATATCCCTGCTACCTTCCAAAAGGCCACCTATGAGTGCAGGAGGCTCCTGGGGGGTATCCAGACATAAACTCTAACAATAAATAAGCCCAAATCCCCCAAATTCCCACCACCCAGAGACCCCCAACCTCTGTTCTTACTTTCTTGAACACTGTTCCACGTTCTTCCAAACTGCATTTTGGCACACACGTGCAATTACATGCACACTCACATGTGTCATGGAGGTGTTGCTTTGCACATCTATATGCCATTACTGTGGCCCAGTTTGTCCTGATGGCTCAGATGTCCATGTACCACGAAGCCCAGCAGTCCTCTCCCCACCTCATCACCTCTCTCTTCACCCAAGGGCACAGATCCTTCCGCGATGGGAGCGGTGTGCAGTCCCACCTGGTCCTGTATCAATGTGCTAACTGGTGTGGGAAGGCACAGCAGCAGAGCAGAGTCTCGCTGTGGTGATATCCCAAATCGTGGGTCAGGTTCACAACTCCAAAAACAGCCGCAGGGGTGGAAGCCAGTATTCCCCCAGAACAGACAGGCTGCAAGCCAACTGTGTGACCCCTCGATCCAAGCCTTTCCCACTTCCTGCTGGCAATCGCCGCCAGGCTGTCACAAAGATTGGGGAGGGCTGTACTGCCCCATTGTTCCCTCCACCTCCGCAGCTGGCTTTCCTTGGAGAGCTGCACAAAGGTCTGTCACATCTTCGCCTGGACAACAAGCCACCCGCACTCCCCCGCCATTCCCAGAGCATCTTAGCTTCGGGCAGACCACGGTGGCTTTCTGTCCTGGCTTGTCGGGACAGCAAACTCAGGGAGATAATGAACACAAATACAACCTCCAGCAAGGCACCTGCTATGCCCCTACTTACCCCACCCCATACACAGACACTTCGTTTTACTTCAGCAGGATAATACCACATATCTTTTGTACTATGCTTTTAAAAAATACAATTCTCAATAATATGTGTGGACAGCTTTCAGTGGCATGTTGTTTCTAAAAAACTGGTTGGATCACAGGTCCTCATAATTTCATCAGTAGCTGTTTACGAGCTCCCTCCCAGGTAAAACTTGACCAAGTTTTGTGCTCATTGAAAAGAACATGCGGAACTTAGTTTCTGATTCAAAGGTTGTGGCCTGGTCCGATACATAACTGTTTACCTATTGATTGCCTCCAAGCTGTGTCTTTTGGATAGAATTGGTAGGAATCAGGGCTAGAGACAGGGGACAGAACTGAGGTATGTGTAAAGCTCAGGGGGTCTCAGGGGTAGAGGATTTGCCAAATTGTTACCCAACCTCTGCTTGCACGACTTCAGCAACAGAACCCACCACTTTACTGAGACAATGCCTTTCTCCCTGCATGTCTCCACTTATGCAGCAGTCATCCTATGCGGATGAAGAGTCCACCACCTTCCTGAAGGTTCCACCTCTACCAATGGAGGCCTTTTTTGAGGGCAGGGCTGTGGCTTCTGTGCCACTGAACTACATTGCCAGCTCTTTTTATAATCATTTTGAGATAGAGTCTTGCTAAGTTGCTTAGGTTGACCTCCAACTTGCTGTTCTCCTGCCTCAACCTCCCAAGTTGCTGGGATAACAGGCCTGTGCCACCATGCCTGGCTACTTGGAGCTCTTGTTACCCTGTGGAGAGGTTGAGGCAGCTGTCTTCTCCAGGTCCCCTCATATTCCTGGATGGGTGCCTCTTCCCTTGACTGCTACCGGCTGAAGCCATAGAACTCTCCAAGGTGAACACAGTCCTACCTGGTTCCCAGCGAGAGACTCCCCTAAGCTCCACGAATCCCTGCTCACACATACTGAAGCTGCAGCCCTGGCTCCCCTGGGATGGAGGGAGCCCAGGGCTGCTTCTCTGGTTTGGAAGGAAAAGGCCCTTCACACACTGGCTCCTACATGCAAAGTGCGCAGAAACCCCAAGAGACTCCACAGGCCGAAAGAGAAGCTGCTTCTGAAAAGTGTGAGACAAGTTTATGGAGACTGAGTCACGAAAGGCCGTCATTTAGCTGTTCTTTGGGGATATTTTGGTGTAGGGGACGCCTCTCTCCTGACCTCCTGGGACCTGTCTGCAGGTCTCTTCCATTCTTTGCCTTGACCTCTCAGAAGGGACTTTCTTTTTTTTTTTTTGGTTTTTCTCCGGTACCGGGAACCGAACTCACGACCTTGCGCTTGCCAGGCAGGCGCTTTTGCCGCTGAGCTAAATCCCCAGCCCCAGAAGGGACTTTCTGATAACCAAGACCGCTGACGCCCAGACAGAGCTGGTGCAAGTCCTCCGCAGGTGGGGCCCTGGGGTGCTGAAATGGGTCTCTCCACAGCTTGCACTGGGTTTTACTTTCCTGTGGTGATGAAGCGTCTGGGATGTCGATGTTTATACACTGGTAAAACTTCCATTTCCGTCTGCACAGTGGATTCTCCGCGATGGTTCTGTTGGTTTGACTTTACCTGACTCTGGGCTGTTTTGGTGGCAGTTCGGAGTATTAAACTGGGACACTTCACACAGGGGGCAGTGGGGGTGAAGAGCCTGCTTCCCTCCACTTGCACCCAGGTTCACGCACATGCATGGAATCACAAGGACGGGGATGATGCTAACGGCAAGTCTGCCCTGAGTTGGCTCTCGTACCACAATTCTTTGGGAGGTGGGGGTACTGGAGATTGAACTCAGGGCCTCCACACTGGGCTACAGCCCAACCCTTTTCTGTTGTTTATTTTTGAACAGGGTCCCCTCTACCTCAGGCTTGCAGAGTGCTGGGTGACAGACACATGCCAACATGCCTACCTGGATGGGGCCTCTTAAGACCAGGGCCAGTGTCTGACTTGCACTGCACACCTTCAGTGCAAGGCATGGCCAGCCACTGGGAGGAGCTCTGCCGGCCTCGGAGGCACAGCTGCTCGGCTGGTGGCTGCTGCTGAACCATTCTATATGGGCACTGTGGATGTAGACCCTGCCCTTGGGAGCCGTGCTGTCACGGAAGAGATGGACAACAAGAACCTAGGCCAGCAAGCACGCGGGACGTGCGTGCTCAGTCCTGTCAGGGCAGCAAGCAGGGTGTGTATGGGAGAGCAGAGAAGTGATGAGAGGTGACAGTGGAACAGGAAACGGGAGTTGGAGAAGAGTTGGTCATGATTTGCTCTAGGAGAGGGCATTTTGCACAGAAAGTATGTGCTTGTGCAAAGGTCCTGAGGCAAAAAAAGTTAAGGCATCTATATGAGGCCAAAGGGGCCAAAGCCTAGTAAGAAAGGACTCTATGTGAGAGATGGTCACTCCTCAGGGAACAAGAGTCTGCAGTAGGACATCCATGATCCCAGCCCTTGCCTGTCTGCGGCAGCCTCACCGTGAGGGGCCCTGGGCCCCTCTGCACAGTAATAAGGATAGCCGTCCAAGACTCCAGATTTCTGGAGGAGAGATTTACTCTCCACAGACTCCCATGCCCTGCTATTCCCGTCACCCCAAGGCCCCATGACTGGTGCCTTCCTCATTTGGAGATTCCAAGAAAATCTTAGAACTCTCACTCCCGGCCTGGGCCTCGGCAGCCAGGGAGAGGAAGGAAATTCTCACACAGAGCCTTCTCCCAGGGAGTTTGCCCGTGTTCCCAGGCTGACAACCAGCAACCCTCAGAGCTCGTCCCCCACCCCTTCCTCCTCCTCCTCTCCGCGCCCTGCCTCCCTCTCTCCCCTGCCCCCCTCCTGGAGCTTAATGACTTCCACATGGGCCTCTGGTGGCTGGAGCCAAGCCTCCCAGCATTGTCTGAAATCTCCAAATTTAGAAGAAATATGAAAATTGTCAACCACTCCTTCCTTAGGGGGTAAAAGCAACATTCGGCACCAGGGGCAGGTCAAGGCGAGGCAGTCACGTGGCAGGCACCCGGGCCAATGGGGGCCCTGGGAGGACCCTGTGCCCGCCTCTCCCGAGCACCAGGCTCGCCTCTTCAGCTCTTATAAGGTAAAAGGCAGAGAGGTCTCTGTGGCCCGGGAGCCGTGGGCAAGGGGCTAAGGGGAGGGGGTCCGATGCCAGTTGCTTAAAAATGCCCCAGTGGCAGTAAAGGGGGCCAGAGGCCGGGTCAAGTTAATTGCGAAGCAGTGACACCCCCAACCATTCCCCACACAGGCTGGCCCCCCATCGTCAGGCCCAAGGAGCCACACCTGGACCGGACTCCAGGCGAGGTAAGAACGAGCCAAGACACGGGCCGCGTACGTGAACGGGCTGTGCGTCCTCCTCCCCAGGAGGTTGCGTCTGGAGGTCTTGTTCTTGCTAACTGCTCGGTGCCTTCGGCCTCTCCGGCCTCAGTTTCCCTGCACGTGCAGGGCCTGGATTCGATGCTGTCTACGTGTGGCGGCCTCTAATCTGCAGTTCCGTTGGCTCCTGGGTCTCGGTGTTGCTGGGTTAAAGGGGAAGTGGGGAACGGGGCAGTGGACAGAGCTGACAGCCCGGCTTGTGCTCTATGCCCAAGCCTGGGATTCTGTGTGGACAGTGCTCTCCCTTCCTGTGGGAGGTTTTGATTTTAGTTCTGAGAGCCTGGGGCTCCTGGTAGGGGAAATAGTTTTCAAGTAATAGCTTCAAGAAACGTAGCTGGAAGGAGGCACTGTGAGCGTGGGCTCCACAGGGAAGCAGAGACAGGGAGGGATGCTGCCTGAGCCAAGGGTCGAGCCGTGGGCCTGGGCTTCAGCCAGCTCTGCTCTCGGTGCCTGGCTCTGTGGCCCTGGGTGGGCACTGTCTCTCCGGTGTTTCCTCATCTGTGTAAGGAAGCCACTGGACAAATGGTCTCTGCACAGATGCTGCTTCTAAACCCACTGAGCCTACCAGCAGCTAGTGCTGGGAAGTCACCCAAAGCCCCTGAGCTGGGCCTGTGCTTTGGTGGAGGGCTCAGAGCCTGAACAGATGCCCAAAGCCCCAGGGCTTCTGGAGGCTGAGTGTCAGTGAAGGTGGCTACAGGGTAACCGTCTGAGGCCTCAGGACAGCGGGCTTCCCGGGACCCAGCCTCCGGCGGCCAGAGCTGATCTCTGGACTCAGCCACACAGCAGTGGCAGCCCTTGAGGGAGGATGGGGGAGAAAGACCACAGAGGGCTTCAGGAGGGGACATGCAGGCCCGAACCCCTCAGAGAAAGAAAGGAGACTGCGACGGACACGGCGGAGCCTGGCAGAGGCAGGGGCTCAGGATGGCAATGCAGAGACGCACAGGCAGCGTCCACACAGCCTCCTGTGAACACACGCTGGCCACATCCAGGCCCAGAACAGAGCGCTAGGCTGTCTCCAGTGCGGGCTGCCTAGGACTTGTTTCTGAGCACACAAAGCTCAAGGCTTTAATAATCCAGAAGGAGGCACTAGAATCCAGCTGACAGGGTCCCATTCTGGCTTGTTTACTTGCTCGCAGAATGACCCTGGACAAATGACAAGTCACCTGCCATCTGAGCCTCAAGTGCCTCTTCTGTAGAATGGCTACAGTCCTGGCTCTAACCTCTCACTGCTGTCATGAGGAACGAGGGACATGTTCCAATAAGAGCAAGATGAGGTGGCAGGACAGCGAGGTCCCACATCTCTTGTGGGGCAAGATGACAGTAGCCATGCTTAGAGAGGAGGAGAAATGAGACTGAGGCATAGAACAGGGCCACGGAGGTGAGGACCAGCTCCTGCAGGAAGAGGCGAGGCGAATCTGCAAGCAGAAGAGGAGGTAAAGGGCAGTCAGTGTGAGACCCTACAGAGACAAATGTGTCCCTGTCCCTGCTTGCACAAGCTGTGCGGCCAGGTGCCTCCAGGGCGAGGGGCCTGAGCTCTGCACACTCAGGCCAAGTCCAGGAGGAGCCCAGGAATCTGCAGTTGAGGCCCCTGGACTTTTTCTGGCCTGGCCCATGGGCATTCTGAGAGTTTGGGGCTGCAGCCCCCAAGGAAGCTGAAGTGCTCAAGAGAACGTACGGCCATAGGTCCCACCATGAGCTGAGAGGGAACAGAACCTACAGCTTTGCCCTGCCAGGGGCTCCTGGAGCGTGTACAATTAAGGGGAACTGTATTACATTCTTCTGTGTGGCATGTAGTGGTTCTGGAATTACCCAGTGTCTTTGTATGAACTAATTAATTTAACCCTCAAAGACCCTGTGAATTAGGTACCAGACCCCTGTTGCTCAGAGGAGGTACTGGAGGCACAGAGAGATGAAATAGCTTGCCTAAGGTCACACAGCTCGTGAATTGTTAGGCATAGACAAGGTGTGCGAAGGTGTGCGCTGGCTACCCAGGCTGCTGTCTCCCCCAGGAGTCTCCAGCCTCCTGCCCTGCCCTTCACCCACCCTGGAATTCATAAAGAACCTTCAATGTCCCTGGTAAGAGGGGACAAAATATACATGGGAAACTTCTCAGGAGCCAGGTACTGGGCTGAACCATTTGCGGTACTGTTTGAAACTCTCAGGATTGCTAACAGAAGGGGTCAGCATGGTTCCATCATCCTCTGTGTATAGAGAGGGAAAACAGAAGAATGTAGTGGGCGGAATTAGACCCCAGCTGGAGCCCAGCCCACGTGCCCTGCTCCCGCCTGCTCTGGGTCCGTGGGTGGGCACAGTGATAGGGAAGCCCACCTCGCCCTCTGGAGGAGACTGAGGCAATGAGGGACACCCCGGGCTTGACCGGGTCGCTTGCTGAGGCCACTGCTCTCCTTCAGCCACCTGGTGTGCCGCCCCAGCCGGTCATCAGTGCCTAGGGCCACACCGCAGTGCTGAGGGCAGACGCAGCCTTTTCTGCTGGGCCACTTCTGGGGCAGAGCAGCTCAAATGCGCAAAGCCTTGGGGAATGGAAAATTCAAGGCCTGAACTGCCACTGCTCCGGACCTCAGGGGGCTCCCTGAGATGGCCTCTGGGGTCCTCACACCGGCTGTGCCTCACACCGGGCTGTTGTCCAGTAGAACAGTCTGTGGCTTGGGGCCTCTGGTGGTTCAAAGAGCCACGATGCAGGCGTTTCTTGTTGCATTGTGTGCATTTTGTGTCCATCTCCTGGTGCACAAAAGCCGGAGATTCTGGAATTTGTACCCAGAAGGGATTGCTGGGCGTGTGCAGGAAATTACTTGATTATTTTCCACCTTGGCAGGGTGTACCTCCTCCTACTCCCCAGCAGTACCTGGGCATTTCCTCCTTCCCAGCCACACTGCAAAGGATCAGAATTTGTGGAGCGTGTGTGTTACTCACTGCATTTCATTGTCACATTTCCCTAATAAACACTGTAAAGGCAGGGGCTGCAGGAGTTGCGCTCCAGTGGAGCACTTACCTGGACGAGCCAGGCTCTGAGTTCCATCCCTAGTACCCACCTCCTAAGAGGAAGGGAGAAACGGAAATAAAATGTATGTGTGTATCCTGCAAGAAGCTATGCTTGTGTCCAAGTGGGCCTGGCATGGGCCTAAAAATCTGCCTTACATGTGCCAAGTGGCTAAGCACACTGCATTCTGGACACTTTGCAGGCCCTGAGGTGGGAGTGGGCCTGACCCACGTGGCCCTCTGCGCAAGCAGTACACAGTCCCTACAGTCCAATCAGAGTCGCCTGGGGTGGGCAGCTGCAGCAGTTGGGGAAAGAGCCCACCGTGGCTGCCACCGCAGCTAACAGCCTGTCTAGACAGGCCCCGTGGGGTCATCAGTCTGGCCGCACCACACATCGTGGGAGCCTCCGGACAGCCACTCCCTGCTTGCAAAAGAGGCTTGCTGGCAGCAGCACTTCCCCACAGAAGCCTTTTCTCCAGCTCATTGTGCAGCCTGGATCCCCACTTTTCAGGCCTGAGAGCCAGACCCATTCAGCTCTGCTTTTGTTAGCTGAGGAGAGGAGGCTGACTCCAGAGCAGGGCTCTCGCTCCCTGTGCATTGCGATCACGGAAGCAGGTGCACATGCAGCTGTGCTGCAGGACTGAGGCTGAGTCACTGCGGGCCAAAGGTGCCAGGCAGGAGCCAGGGTTGAATTCTGCATGTTCCTCCCAGCAGCTGTGAGCCTTGAGAAACCTGCATAGACACTGTGCCTTGGGTGCCTCATCTGTGAAACAGTGCTGTTAGGGTGTGCCAAGTCCACTTGGGGCCATAGCAGCCCTGGGATGCGCTTGGTCACCCCCCAACCTATCAGGGACAGTGGACTAGACCAAGACTGGAGCAGAAACCACACTTTGGCCCCTCCTTGAGTTCTCTCCAGCTGTAAGCCAAGACCCCTAGCCCTCAGACACCTCTCCTTGGACCCAAACTGTGCTTCAAGGAGGTAAAGAAGCTCCAGCCTGGAGCACGCTAGACCCATGGGCTTAATAGTGAATTTGCCCGGCTGCCACTCATTTCTGCCCCTCACCTCCTCTGCTTCCTTCAGGGAAGCAGAGGGGGCAAAGTCTCCAGAAGGGGGTTGCTTGCCTCACAGAGGCATCCACAGTGACCACGACACAACCCAGGACTGTGTTGCCGGGTTTGGAGGCCTCCGCTGAGCATTCTCAGAGCCTGCCAGACCTTGGACATGTGACCAGCAACCCTGCAGAGTCTGAGGGCAGCCACCGAGATCAATGAATAAGATAGGGAGAGAGAAAGAGGCAGCTGAGACCTGGCCTCCTCCGCAGCCTGCACTTTCGAGGAAGCGCACCTGCCCCCGGGCCCTTCAGGCCTGAGGCCCGCTGTCTGGGATGGAACGGGGATAGTTCAGGTCATGGTGCATGTGCTGGTGGGTGCCAGGACTTCCTGAGAGGTTAGCAAAGCTGTGGGTGGAGGCAGTGAGGGTAGCAGCGTGCCCTGCACAGATGACAAGGAGCACAGCCAGGGGAGAGCCTGGGAAGCAAAGATAGAGAGGGAGGGCTGTGAAGACATTTGCGGGAGGGCAATGCAAAAGCCCATGGGCTCGGGCCCAGTGTTGGTCTTAAGCTCGATGTAGCTGGCGGTTAACAAAATGCTGGAGGCCTGGGCTGTGGGGTGGCTTAGACAGTTGGAAACCAAAGCATCAGAAGTTGGGCAAAGCTAGATTTGGGGGTGCATGTCTGCAATCCCAGCACTCTGGGAGGCTGAGGCAAGAGAATCAAGAGTTCAAGCATAGCCTGAACAGTTTAGCAAAGTAATGAAGCCTTATCTCAAAAATAAAAAATAATATGAGCTGAAGATGTAGCTCAGGGCAAATGCCCTGAGTTCAGTCTCCAGTAGGAGGACAAGGTAAGGAAGGAGGAGGAGGAAGACGAAGTTGCAGGAAGTTCTCTTTGGGATCCCTCAGTCCCTTTCTTTAACCTATTGGCTCCTTTCCCCAAAAGTCCCATCAACCAAGAGCCCCGTGCAGGGGACCTGAGAACCTGGACATTGGGTGATTCTCAGGTGTCAGGCATGGGGAGAGGAGGCCGTGTGGTTAGGAGGAACAGGAAGCCCAAGGGCTGCAGTCACCAGCTTCCTGCCTCTCAAAGCCTTCTGAGGAAGTCTGCAGCCCTGGAAGACAGGGGCGAGGACCCAGCGAGGCAGATAGCAGCTGGGTCTCTGGAAGGAGTCTCCAATAGCCTGTGAAGAGGAACAGGGGAGATAAGGTGATTTGGAAGTGGTGAGCTCTCTATCACAAACAGTGTGTGCAAGATTAGCAGAGATGCTATAGTGAGAAGGCAGGCATCAGCAGCCTTGTCCTTTCCCACCACCAGCCTGGCGCGTCACATGCGGGCCGTAGCTGCCGTGGGACAGTTATAGTGCTAAATTCCTCCGCAGCCTTCATGTCAGACTCTAGCCAGATGTGTGACGTCAGTTCTGCCCTGACTTTGCCCAAGGGCCTGTTGGGACCACTACCTCCCACTTCCTTCCACCTCGCTGCTGCCTTCTGCCCTTCCCAGGGGATCCTAGGACTGACCAGAGAGACCTGGAGTCGGATTGTGCGATGGAGGTCCTGGGGGACCATCCAGTCAATGGCCTTCCGCCCTGAAGGAATGAGACAGAACAGCCTGAGTTCCCTGGAGTCCTGTTCACATGCTCCAGAGAGTCTGCATGGAAATTCCAGGAGGGTTACTGGACAGCTTCTAATTTAGAACCAAGATGCTTTACCCCCTCCCTTCCTCTTCTGTTGCATCCTTTTCCCCAGCAGTGGGTGGGGTGTCACAGAAGGTTGGAAAAAGAAAGTATGGATGAGTCACAGAAGACAGCATGGAGAGACTGGGGTGCAGTGCTGATTAGGGGGCATCTTTCTCCTTTCTGGGCCCAGGGGTGTGGACAGCCATGTGAGACAATTCAGGAGGCCAGCGGGGCCAGGTAAGGGTCTGAAGGCAGTAGGCATGAACCCCAAGCAGGCTAACAGACAGCCTTGGACACCTGTGACCAGCGTTACCTGAACCTAGGTTCAAGCCAGGCTCAGACAGTCAGCCAGAGGTCCTAGAATAGAGACAGAAGTTCCCAGGAATGGGGATTCAGGGAGTCCCTGCCTCACCCTGGCTGTTAACCTAAAGTGAGCTACTGTCTCTGTGACATTTACCCCCAGGGACCTGGTAGATGCTTAACAAATGTTCCTGGTATTCCATCCTAAACTCATAGCATCTTAGTTCTTCCAGAGGTAAAAGGGCCTCAGAGTGCATCAGAGCTTCTGGCCGCATATCATGGGTGAGAAACTGAGCCCAAGCAGTGGGAAGAGACTTGCACAAGATGGCCCTGCCAGAGTGCTTTGTCCCTCGCTTCCTCTTTGCCTGCTAGATTGGTGGTGCCCTCCTTACCCCTGAGGGCAGAGCACCGAGGGCAGGGCATCAAGGAGAGGGGGCACCAGCCTGGCCCTGGCTGCAGAAGTAGTGGAAGGTGGCAGCCTTGTGTTCTGGCTGCTCTGACCTTCACGTGGCCAGAGACAGTCCCCATGCTGGTGGCAGCTGCAGATGGGAGGCTGCCTACAGAGAAGAGAGCCCAAGGCTGGGACGGGAGGCCCCGGGCTCTATTCCTGGTTCTGCCCCAACTCTCCAGACGACCTTGAACATGACCTCTGGCCTCAGTGTGTTGAATGAGGGGCGGGACCAGGAGAGTTAGAGAAGCTGGGGATTTGATCCACAGTCTGTCTCCAGTGCCCTGTGGCCCTCCTGGGTATCTGTCTCCAACCATCTGAGATTTTACCTGCCAGCTTGGCACAGGAAGTGGGCCAGGCACAAGAAGAAGACAGCGGCCTGTGCGTTCTGCTAAGCCCAAGCTTCACTTTTCAGCTATGAACTCCCAGAGAGATGAAAACCTGTGCAACCTTGTGAGATCACCCCGTGAGAGGAGCTGAGATAAGAGCGGGTGAGCAGATTGTTCGCGGTCACATAGCGAGTTATATGCAGACTGGAAGTTGCTCTTGGGTCTCCTGACAGCCACAGCAGTGCTTTTCCCAGTGACTGCACTGCCCTCTGGAGTAATGGACATAATCGCCATTCACAAGCAGACCTAGTCACTAATTACCTTGCTGGGTCAGAATCCTGTGCAGGGAGCCTACCGCGTCTCTCCCACTGTCTGGGACTCAGTTTCCTCTTTAGTGAAATAGCAAGATGGGCTGCGCCCGGTGTCTAGGAGCTCTTCTACCCCAGCACTAGGGACGCACCAGGACCGCAGAGGGCTTTCCTGAGTGGCCCCTGCTGCCTCGGCCTTGGCCTATTCTTCACAGAGAAAAAGACCCTGGCCAGGAAATCCCATCCAGCCCAGTCCCACCCCAGACCCCAAGGCTGGGCTGCATCCAGAATGACAGGCCCCAGCCCCGCTCCCCTCTGAGGATCTGGATTTTTCTTACCATAAAAGGGCAAGTGTGCCTCCCCTGCTCCCCGCTGCCAGCCCCGCTGGGGGAAAGGCTAAGCTATATTTAGAAAACTCAAGGGTTTACTCTGAACTCAAGATGAAGCTTGTCTGTGCCTGCAGCCCGGAGCCCCCTCCCCACCTCTCTTCCTCCTCCTCGCCCCCCATTGTACCCCCCATTGCTCTCAGCCCGTCCTGGCCACCACCAGGCTGTCGGCTCCCTCCAGCCATGTCTCTCCCATTCCTCTCCCTCTGCTGCGCCTCTCGCTCTTTCCTCTCTTCCTTCCCGCTCCCCTCAAATCTTTTCATAGCCAGCTTCCCTCCCCCACTTCCCTCCCTCAGATCTCCTCTCTGGTGGTTGGAGAAAGTAACACATCTGCACCCCCACTCCTTCTCAAACACTATTTACAACATAAGTTCCAAACATCCGCCATCTGGTTCTAGGAAGGGCCAAAAGTTATTTGGAGAAGGAAGTCACGATTATTCCATCTTCAAAGCCAACAGAGCTTAAAGGCCCTCTCCTTCCCACCTTCCTCAAGGGGCCCTCGGTTAACATCTGACCCGTGAGGATCCCTCGGTGCGGGGAGAGGGTCGGGACATTTGCTGGGGGACCGGCCGGGCCTCTGTGCACAGGCTCCACTGGGGATTTGTTGTGTCCTTCCTGCGCCCAGTTTTCTCAGGGGCAAGGGCTGTGAGCCTAGGATCTCACCATGCAAGCGCTGCACACTCCACGTCCTGGGGCAGAAATCTCCGCTGTTCCTGGTCACTGGGGCTCAGCTTTGGACTGAGCAACAAGGAGTGGGTTGAGGGTGGGGTCTGACCCGGGAGGGCCCTGGGCACCCCACAGGCCAGTCCTCTCCCCGCCACGTCACGTGCAAGTGGGCCTGAGGCCCCAAGAGTGCAAGGCCCTTGTCCGTGGTCACACAGGAGAGCTGCTGTTGCCTGCTGCCCAGTACATTCGAGAAGGACCCAAGACCCAAATTACCCAGAGAGTATCACAGAGCCCAGCAAAGCCCCCAAACCCTGGAGCTCCCTGCTCTTTGCAAAGTAGATGGGACAGAGGTAGAAACAACTCCTTTATCATGGTGGGAGCTTTCAGTTCGTGTTGTTTTTTATCAAACGGACAGTGGGTGAGGGAAAGATACCATGGCAGAGGCAGAACAACAGCCAAACTAAGAAAGCCCTTTGATGCTAGTGACCTGCAGCCCTTGCAGGGCCCTGCTGACTTCTCCTTAGACTGAAAATGCTGTCTCTATTCACAACCCCTCCTCACACCTGAAAAGTGCCGTGAGAGGCTGACTCGGGTTATCACCCCAAAATGATGCCATAATCCAGACACGCTGGCGCACACCTGTAACAGCAGCTACTCGGGAGGCCGAGGCAGGAGGATTGCAAGTTCAAGGCCAGCCTGGGTAACACAGTGAGATTCTGTCTCAAAACAAAACTTCAGAAAACAGCTTGAGATGTAGCTGACTGGTAGAGTGCTTCGCTAGTGGGTGCAAAGCCCTGGGTTCTGGTCCCAGTACCACACACACACGCACACAAATTCATTAAAAATAAAAATAAGCCATAAATAGTCTGGGCTCCCAGGGGAGCTGTGAAACTGCATGCTGGCTTGCCTGGGACCAGCCCCGGTCTCACACTTAGTAGCTATGCGGCCCTGACGGAGCACTGTGGGCTCTGAGACCCTCATTTCCTCTTCTGTAAGGTGAGGATCCAAGTGGTACCTAACTCAACCGTTATGAGTCAGTGGGGGAGCTGTGCTTAGGGTGGATCCCAAGGTGCCTGGTACAGAGGATCCACATCCTCTCTGCCAGGCTCTGCCCTTCCTAGGAGGCCAGGGTGGCAGACTGCGGGACCAGGACTGCTTGCCTCCAGGCCCCTTCCGGGACACCTCCCAGGCCCTGAGCTCCTGGGACTCGGCCTGGGGCCCCTCTTCCTTTTCCCTGCTCAATGGTTTCGACCTCAAACTATGTTCCCAGGGTTTGCTCCAAAGTCCCAGGCGTCCTTCCCTGGGGAGGAAGTGGGGAGCGTGTGAGGCTGCTGAACTCAGGGTGGGTGACGGGCAGAGGGCGCTCTGGGAGCAGAGACCTAGGGGAGATGTGCACAGAGGGGACAGAGGAGGGGCCCAGGCAGTGGCTCCCTCAGAGGCTTCCACATGGTGTCTTGATGCCTGCACAAACCTCCGCCCCCGCCTCCTCACTCCTCTTCCCTCCTCCTGCTCTACATGGCTGGAGGAACAGGCACCAAGGCCGTTTGTTCTAAGCTTGTTCATTACACGCTTGTCTGCTTGCCCTTGACATCCACCTCATCTGAGCTTCACAAACAAGGCTGAGGTCCCGAAGTCAATGCCCAGACAAGTGAAGACCCTGATCCTACATCACACAGCTAGAGGCACGGGCAGGGTGGAAACTGGGCGCTGGAGGCCAAGGTGAGGAAGGCTGCAGATCTCACACATCCGTGGAGCAGAGGCTGAGGCCTGAGGCGCAGGCAGAGAGAGGCAAGGTGGTGACCGGGCAGCCCCTGCAGAAGCAACAGGTGTGAGCGTGGGCTCTGAGTTGCTCAGAGCCCTGGCCTCCATCCTCCCCCACTGCGGGGCCATCTGGCTCACAGATGTGGCCCATCCCCAGCCCCTGGTGCTTCTGGGAAACAAGCAAGGAGCAGAGGGAGAGTGCACCAGGCTCCTGCAGAAACCATGACAACGCAAGCATTGTTTCACAGTCACCCGGCCAGCCACTGCCCGTGCTCAGGGCAGCTGGGCTAAGCATGCAGAGCCCAGGTCTCAATCTGCTTCTGATACTTCCTGCCAGGTGACTCCACCTGCAAGACCAAACCACACAGCCTCTCTGCCCCTCGGGTGGGGGTGCCCAGGTGACAGAGCTCCCCAGACTTGCCAGGAGTGCTTTAGAGTAGGAAGAGGCCATGGGTGGTCCTGTCTATCTTAATCACCTGGTAACCGAGGTTTTGTCCTCCCCTAAATGGCTGCTTTCTTATGCATAAGGCTAGAGATGGAAAATCTCCTTCCAGAGGCTGGGGATATAGCTCAGTGGTGCAAGTACCTGCCTGGCAAGCAGAAGGTCCTAAGTTCAATTTCCAGTACCCCCCACCAAAAAAACAACAAAATGTCCTTCCATGTGGGTTCTTTAGCCATGAGCTTCTGCTGCTCTTGAATCTAGAGTTTCTCTGAGGAACTCCTCCTGCCAGAAAGCTATGCTGGTTTGGCAGGGACAGTGGCTGCCTTGGCCTGAAGGTCTGGTTCCAGCAGTCTGTCCAAGCCTGGCAGCCCCGGAAGGGTCCCCAGGGTTCAGGCCAAGGGCAGCCCAGTGTCCTCCAACAGGCGGGATCTTCGTTTCTCTCAGGAAGGGCGCTGGCTGGTGTGGGACATGCAGAAGCCCAGAGAAGGAACCTCTCAAGGGCCAGAGGGAGCAGGTGGCGGGCAGTCCTGGCAGCAGAACTGTGAGTGTCCCCCAGCTCCTCCACACACGTCCTGCATGTGGCTCCTGGAATACGTGAGACCCCGGGGACAAACGCCTCCCATGCTGATCCTCACCAGGCCTCAGCACAGCGAGGGGCAGCACTGCATGAAGGAAGACCCTGGTGGAATGCTAGCAATGTGGGCAATGCTGGGGCTTTGGGGTCTGAGTAACAGAGCCAAAGAAGAGAGAAGTGACCGGGAGCCGAGAATCCACCCCACCCCCTCCCCCTCCCGCTGTGAAACAGCCCTTCGGGCCTGTGTGATTTGATGAATGAGGGGTTTGGGGAAGATGCAGGGACAGTAGCAATCTTCCCTAGATGAACAGGACCAGACTCCAGCAGCAGGAGGCCCCAGGGTTATGTGACTGTGGACAAGGCCTTGAGCCTCTCAGAGCCTGGTGGTAACCACCGGGCTCCTTGGGCTTTGGAAGGGCACAAAGCTGGGCTGTGTCCCAGGTGTGCTGCAAAGCTCAAACAAGTAGCAGTGATTTTTACCCCCCATTTGTCCCTCATTTGCCAATCGTTGTAGGCGCCTTCAGGCTCCTGGTAGAGAGCAGAGCAAGGCACTGGCCCCATTAAGACAGCTGGGGAGGGCTGGGGATTTAGCTCAGCGGCAAAGCGCCGGCCTGGCAAGCGCAAGATCGTGAGTTCTGTTCCCGGTACCGGAGAAAAACCAAAAATAAAGACAGCTGGGGAAGCCCGGGCTGGGGAAGTGAGGAACTCACTCAGTGCCTGGGACAGGCAGCCGCAGAGGGGCATTGTGGGGCCACATCTCACATGGTGGAAAAAAGGAAGAAAGGTTTGCGGGTGAGCAGAAGGATGGAGGGAGGAGGAGGCAGACTCCAGCCTGAGCAACACACCAAGGATATAGGACAAGGCCGAGGCCTGCCTTACATAACAGGGCCCACCTGTTCACCCCTGCACCCCCCACACGTGTGCGCAAACGTGCGCCTGGGAAAAGCACACACCCGGTCCTTGCTTGACAGCAAATGAGCCACGGAGACTGGGCCTAAACAAATTGGATTAGAAGGGCTGCAGGCGCCTCCTCCCTCGCCGGTCCGGCTCCGACACTAAGCAGGCCTGCAGAGCTGCCAGCTGCAGAATCTCGGCCACACTGACAATCGTCCTGGCCCCCAGGCCCCAGCCCTGAGCCCCAGGAAGGGGCCTGGGTCTGAGGATGCCATAGTGATGGATGGAGTGCGGGAGGCTCCGGGGCCGCCTCCAGAGCACACAGGATGTTAGTGCCGTGTGAGGCCATTTCCGAGTGTTCCCAGCCCCCCCCCACTGCCCTGCCCCGCCTCTTTCCCAGGCCTCTCCCAGGGTCACTGCTGCCTGGCTGGGACTTGGGCCTAGCCCAGTGCTGCATATACCCATCCCTCGCCTCTTGGTCCAACAGCTGGGCTGAGCAGGAAGTGGTCGGCTCAGCAGACATTGGCCTGGAGGTAGCACCCGCCCGCACCTTAGAGGGAGGAGACTGTGGGCAGCAAGACAAGGGCTTCGTGAGGGTGGCGTCTCAGGGCCTCTGCATGCATTGCTGGGTTTAACCCTCAGGATGTGCTGGGAGTAGGAGACTGCGTGGTACAGACGTGGCCACTGGGGCTTCTTCAGCACAGCACCCCTTTCCAAGCCTGAGTCTGTGCCGGGCCCAGTGGGATGAGCTGAGGACACGGGGATGAAAGACCCATCACCCTTGCTCTTTTGCTTGTAGGAGTCGCTCCCTGGGGATCGGCTCTGGGGCACTGGGGCTTCCCTGGGCTTTTGCAGGAGTGGCCCCTGCAAAATCCCTTCTCCACAGGGATCGAGCGCTTCTATCCAGAGGAGCCCTGACGTCAGACAGCCCCCAGTCCTGTCCCGCTCCCTCTCCGACTGGATCCCTGCGGTTGAATGACTGAGAGCTCCACACCCGCTCCCCTTCTGCAAAATGGGAATACGAAAGCTCCCGCCTCACATGGCCGTCAGGATCCATCGTTACTGTCTACACCCTCATTGGGCAGATGGTGAGACAGAGCCCGGGGAAGGGGCTGAGCCCCGATCGCAGCAGGAGTTGGGGTGAAGTCAGAGAAGGTGGGTGGCCTTGTCTCTGGGGTTCCTCTTCCCCAGCCCTCGTCCAGGCAGCCAGGGGCCAGGACGTTGATGGTTGGTCCAGGTGATTTCTGGCACGCCCAGCCTCACAGCAGCAGAGTCTCAGGGGACCAGCCGTAGCCCCCAGCCCTCTGGGTGGCAGTAGAGGTGGGAGCGCCCAGCCCAGAGCAGCCTGCCATATAAGGAAGGAGCCCAGGAGCCTGCTCACCCTGGCCTGAGAGAAACCCCAGACAGCCTCTGTTTATTTCTCCTTCCCAGCCTCCTCTTCTCCCGCCCCTCCAGAGCTTCCAGACAGAAGACGAAGGATCCCCGGCAGGCCGGCTGGCGACATTTCCTGAAGACATGGGGAGAGGGAGGGAAATGGCTGTCCCCCTGGGATCAGCCACCCAGCCTGCCCAAAGCCCTCACTGAGCCTCTAGGTAAAATGTCCACCTGGTTCAGCCTCCTCCTTTCATAGAAGGAGAAGCCCAACGCCCTGGAGGAAAGTGACCTGCTGACAAACAGCCGAGCCAGCTGGTGACAGAACCCAGGCCTCCCAACCGACCACCTAGCTCAGGTCCTGACTGGCACCCTGGGGTGTGAAGGAGCCGCAGTGGGGTAAGTGAAACCGGACTGCCATCCACCCCTTCCAGGGAGGCCTTCCCTTGAAGCAGGCAGGGTTGGGACAAGCGCTGCCTGCCATCCCAGCAAGTGCTCTGGGACCAAAGAGCCAGGAGCAGGGCCCCCTCCCATGCCCTGCTGCCTGCCAGCCGGCGCACAGCTCTCCTCCAGGAAGCCTTCCAGCTCCCCCAGGGCTGGGGCCTCTTTACCTTCTAAGCCTTTGTCAGTCCTCTCATGGGCTCTCCTTGTCCCGCTTGGATCTGTGTCTATCCGCGTTCCCTGCTCAGAGCAGTTCCATTTCTCATTCTGTGTGTGTGTGTGTGTGTGTGTGTGTGTGTGTGTGTGTGTGTGTTTGGTACTGGGGATTGAACCCAGGGCTTCCACATTAAGCTCTATCTGCAGTCCTTTTGTACTTTTCTTTTGAGACTGGGTCTTGCTAATTTGCTAAGTTGGCCAGGCTGGCCTCAAACTTTCGATCTTCCTGCCTCAGCCCCTGAGAGTGCTGGGATTGCAGGTGTTCGGACCAGGGCATTTTCCTGCTACCTCAGCCTGGGTGCATCAGGCTCAGCCCCATGTCCCTGGGCACAGTGGAAGCCCTTGGTGTGCTGAATGAACAGCTACAATGATGAGACCCTGCCCTGAACCCAAAGCACTGGGGGACTGCTCAAGGAGGAGACCCAGTGTGGAGGCTAAGGAAGGGGTGCTGGAATCGGTTACTCTGCGATGCGAAGCCCAGCACAGCTCTTTTGCTCTGTGCCCTCAGAAAGTTCCTTACCCCGGAGCCTTAAGGAGCCACAGGGATCTTCTAGGACCAAGGAATGGAACCTGCAACTTCTAGCCAGGGGTGGGAGAGACACATAGCCACAGAGGAGCTGCAGCTTTGTCCAGTGTCACCCTCTCTGCCTCTGCCGCCCTTGTCTGCACACAGGAGTCAGCTGCCTGCTCTCCGCGCAGCCCTTCGCCCTGGGTGTGTTAGAAATGCCCTCCGCGGTCCCGCGGCGCCGCAGCCTCTCCCGCGCCTGGTCTGGCCGGATGACCGCCTCCGCCCTCGCCGCCCTTGCCGCCCTGGCCGACTGCTGGGATTTGAAGGCGCTGGGCACTGTTTCTCAAACCCACCCATGTAGATGCCTCCGCTTAAATTTTTGCACCTAGTCATAGTATTTTTAAATGGAAGGTGAGTCCTTTGAGTACCTAAATAGAAACAGTTACTGTAAAATGGAAAGGATAGCACTGTCCAAAGGTAAAAATAAATGTAGTGAAAATGAAACAACGTCATCCCGCTTTAAGCTGACGCTGTGGAGCCTGAAGCCTGGGCTGCAACAGAGGAATCGGGAAAGAGTCAGGGCCACGCTGAGGCTTTCTCCCTGGAACACAGGACGGAAAGCGAAGCACAAGGGACACCAGAGCCCCACCCCCACCCCCAGTGACTCAGGCGCCCCATCTGCTGTGCAGGATCAGGCTGAGCGGAGCTGGTGCGGGGAGCGCATGGACTGCTGTCCCTAAAGGTGAGGCCAGGGTTAGAACTGCCCCCTGGCCAGGGACAGTTTGAAGAGTTTTTTTTTCTTGGGGCCGGGGATATAGCTCAGCGGCACAGCGCCTGTCTGGCAAGCACCGGGTTGTGAGTTTGATTCCAAGCACCAAAAAAAAAAGTTTCTTTTTCTTCTCCTCCTCCCTCCCCTTGTTCTTTTTTAAAAGGATGCTTCACCCTGGGTTCATCCCCAGACTTTTGTTTTATTTCTAGAGAATATCTCGCTAAATTGCCAGGCTAGGCTCGAATTTGCAGTCCTCCTGCCTCAGCATCCCAGAGTGCTGGGACCGCAAGTGTGCAGAGAGTTTTTGTGAGAGGAAGGGCATTCTTTGGCTGAGAACACCTCCAGCTGGCTGGCCCCTCAACAGGCCATCAGAAGGGACTGCTAAGCCACAGACTACAGGAAGACTCCCACTCCTCCGAGTTTGGGCTGAGCCTTAGGTCAGATTCCTCATGCAGGCAGGCGTGGGAGACCCATTTTGTTTTTTTAATGAAGATGTTTTCTCTTTCCCAGCCTTGAGGAAAGGCTGCCTATTCCCTTCAGACATCCCTGAAAATGTAGGTCCCTGGCATCAAGGCTACCATAGTTACCGTCAGACAAAGCAAGAGGGTCCTCTGGGGAGCCCCTGAGAGGCTGATGGGCAGGAGGAGTCGGGGAGGGGCATTCCCACCCTAGCCAGGCCCAGAGAAGGAAGTGCATTGTCTGCGTGGACATTCACTTTGCTGTAGATTGCGTCCCCAAAGTCCATCCTTGTGGACAAAACCGTCAGCTGGATCTAAGGGACCACAGATAAACCAGATGTGGATCTCTGTCCTCTGCAAACTGGAAATCACACCAAGTTAGAGCTAGATGCATTGTGGGGCATGGTGGCACACACCTGTAATCCCAGCACCTGGGAGGCTGAGGCAGGAGGATCGTCATGAGTTTGAAGCCAGCCTAGACTACATAGTGAGACCCTGTCTCAAAAAAAAAAAAAAAAAACCTAGCTGAATAACTGTCATTCTAGAAAGGCTGAGACTGAAGGGTGATCCACCCTGCCTACCTCTGATTCCGAGGATGAGGGAAGTTGATCGCATCCTTTCCCTCAAGATGGGCCGTCAGTCCATGACAGGAGGTGGTCATAAGTGAAAGCTGCATTTCCAGAGTGGTAAAGAGCCAGGGGCAGTGACACACGCCTGTCATCCCAGCAGTCCAGGAGGCTGAGGCAAGTGGCTCCCAAGTTTGAGCCCAGCTTAGAGAACAAGAGATTTAACAAGGCTGTCTTAAAAAAAATAAATAAATAAAGGCGTGGGGGAGCTGGGGATGTAATTGTAAAAAGTACAGGAACAGAGAAGTCACAGATGGGCCAGATCACGGAGCGGCTGTCGTGAGGTTGAAAGAAACCACACAGCTTCCCAGCGTGGTCCTGTGAGTGGGGACCAGGAGGAGATGGTGCAGAGCTGGGGACAGCGTGTGCCTGGGGCTCCCCAAGGAAGGGAGGCCACCCCGCAGCCGGAGCAGCAAGCACAGGCAGAGCGGCCTGAGAGAGAAGGCAGAGGGCCAATGGGGCCTCCAGTCCTTGTGAGGGTGCAGAGTGAGCCTCAGCAGTGAGACCCCTTTGGAGATTATAAACCCGGAAAAGACAGGACCAGTTTGAATCTGAGGTCTTTGTTCCATTCTGAAAAATCCCTCTGGGAGGACGGCTGGGAAGAAGGGAGAGGAGGAAGGGAGGTGAGGGAGGTGAAGTGCTCGGGGGCTGCATCACGCATAAAGGGGACCACAGGCTGCAAAAGCTAGGTCAGAACAGAGGATCTCTAGAGGCAGAAAATGCTCCAGGTCGGGTTGGAGAGACGAGGAGTGAGGGATTACTAGGGGTGGGTGATGGAATGTTCTAAACTTGTGGCAACAGTAGCACAACTTGGTGAATATTCAAAACTATTTCAGGAGCAGAGAGTGTAGTTCCGTGGTTGGAGCACATGCTCAGTTTGTGCTTGTGTGAGGCTGCGGGTTCGATCCCCAACACTGCAAGAAACAAGCAAACAAAATGATTTAACTGTGCACTTTAAATGCATGGATTCTATTGCAATGAAAGGGAAAAAGCAAGCAGGGCTGAAGGTACAGCTCCGTGGTTGAGCCGCAGCCTAGCACCAGGTTCAATCCCAGCACCGGGAGTGCGGAGAAAGAAAGCAAGGAAAGGAAAGTCTCGTCTTGTCCGGGCTCCAGAGGCCGCCAAGGACAGGAAGCACAGCTGGGGGGCGGCAGATGCCTCTGGGCAGATCTAGAAGAGGGAGCCTGGAGGAGTCCTGCCGGAGCCTGGCCCCCACTCCAGCAGCGTGGCCCTGTCCCCCAGCCTGAGGTGCAGTGCTGCATCTCTGGTCAGTTGGGAGTCTGAGATGAAGCACTGTAGCTCAGGAAGGGAGAAGTTGTTCTGCAGCCTCAGCCTGGACGCGGTAAGTGGTGACACGGGGGGTTGGCGGGGCAGGCTGGCCCCAGACTCCATACCTTGTGGGCTCTCCGAGCTGGCGGAGTCCTGGGCTTCAGATCTCCCGCAGCTGCTCTGATGCTCCTGTGCCCCGCGCACCCCTTTTACCAGGAGGGGCCGCGCTATTCAGGGCAGCCAGCACCCAGCACCCTGCCTCTGTTTCCTCCTTCGGAGCCCACAGCAGACACTGCTGACAGCCAGGCAGCTCAGCAGCCTACTCAGCCCTGAGTCCTGGACAGCCTCGAGCCGAGCCAAGCTGAGCCCATTGCCCATGTGGAGAGCAGACAACTCCAAGGACCCTTTAAGCTGGAGAGAAAAAAGTCCCGGGCTCTGAGTCATGGTCTTTGCTCTCTGAGCTCCTAAGCTTGGCTCTTTCGGATGAGCAATGACTGGCACAAGAGAGCCACTGGGCTGAGCACAGTGTTGTGGGAAGGAGCCAGTGCTACGGGCCCACTTAACAGAGGAGAAAACCAAGGCTCTGTAAAGCCACTCACCCAAGGTCACTTCTCGATGGTGCTGAGCTGGTTGTACCCTAATCTGTCTGCCATCAGGCCCCTGCTCTTACCCACTGCAGTGATTTTGGAACCGGATGGGAAGCAGGAAGACAACATAACGAATCCCTCTGGTCTTTTCTTTACATCTCAGGTTACTGTCGGCGAAAGTGGAGCCAGGCATTTCCATTAATGCTGTAGGCCCAGCCCGCTCCTGTCCTGTTAACCTACTTGTCCCGTAGGTCCTACGCCATCCCATGTATAGGCCAAGGGGTTAAGCAACTTGCTGGAGGTCATCAGAGGAAGCTGCCAACTTGGGCGTGATGGCACATGCCTGTAATGCCAGCCCTCTGGGAGGCTGAGGCAAGAAGATCGAGGGCTCTTGTCCAGCCTGGGCCGCTTAGTGATTTAGCAAGACTCTGTATCAAAAGAAAAATAAAAACAGGGCTAAGACTGTAGCTCAGTGTGAAGTCCCTGGGTTGATCCTCAGTACCAGAAAAAAAAAAAAAAAAAAAAACTGCCCTATTCACCCCCAACTCGAGACTCAGGAGTACACTTGAGCCAGGGCAGTTGCGGGGGAGAGGGGGTGAAGCTGGGGCTGAGGTCCCAGGTGGTTTCTGATCAACGACCTCGTGGGGCTGCCTCGATGACGGGGAAGGGACTTTCCGGGGCCCCCGAAGTTCCAGTCACTGCTCTTCCCAGAGCAATGAGCCACATTCTGAGAGCATGGTGCCACATGCCAGCCGCTGCCGCAGGGCTAGCCGCAGAAGAAGCACTCCAGCTGGCTCCTGGGGACATGGGACCCGGCAGGCCTTGGTGCTGAAGGCCACTCTCCCACCTTGTCCTCACGGTCCAGTTTTCCCAGGAATCCCTTGGATGCTAAGATGGGGATTCCTGGAAATACTGTTCTTGAGGTCACGGTTTAGCGGCTGGATTCATCTCACTCCCTCCCAGCTCTGCCTCTGAGGGACGAGGGTCAAGCGGAAGGCCTGGTGCTGGAGGTAAGAGGGCCCGCGGGCCCTGTGCTTGGCCTTTCGGTGGCTTTCCTTCCCACTGTGTGCATTTCATAGCATCCCTGTGAGGCTGGTGAAGGGGCCTCAGCACTGTCCGCACTTGGGAACCTTGTCCCAAGCGGCATAGCCAAGCAGTGGCTGAACCAGGATCTTGTACGGCAGAATTCCCTCCACCACCCCTCCCTCCCCTGTAAGCCTTACAATAAAGGGGCACAGTATCGTATCCACATTATTGAAAAACTAAAACATGCACGTGAATTCATTTCAAAAGTTTATTAAATCTTTAAACCAGGCATGGTGTTGGCATACCATGGTGGTGGTACAGCCAGGCATACCTGTAATCCCAGCTGCTCAAGCCTGAGGCAGAAGGATCACAGGTTCAAGACCAACCTGGCTGACTTAGCAACCTGGATGACTTAGTCTCAAAAAGACAGGAAAAAAGTTTGTTACATCAGCTAGGTAAACTAAAAACCATAAATCTTTGTTCAGTTTGGAATACAGCCACAGAAAAATGGAAAATTTTTCATCAAGGTAGAGAAAACAAGACTCAGGACGCCCCCTCGTGGTACCTGCACCATTGCAGGAATTATGGCCACTCCACTCAGAATCTCTAATGTAGCTGCACAGGACTGGCTCCTCAGCCTGCTTGAGCCTTGTCTACCAGCTCCCTACCAGCGATGCCTTCTTCATTGCTTACAGCTCTCGCCTCCTTCCAAAGCCTGGTGTCCTCCTCAAACCCAACGAACATAGGGTTAATGAGGTTCAGAGAAGTACAG